GAGACAGAAAGCGAGGAATCACCCCCCAGAGGGGATGGCCACGCCGCAATCTCTTCTCCTCCATTCTCCTCTCGGGATCTTGGGCACGCACACACACGCGCCCGGCGTGAGTTTAAGCCACCGGGTCTGGGACGCGAACCACTGTCGGCTACATGGGAGTTCATCGACATAGCCACTACGCTAACTGCTGGTCCCATGATTTCTCACTTTCCCTCTCTCTGGCTCTCAATCTGGCTGTCTCTCTCTGGCGAGTGCATGCACCCTATAACCAAAAAAAAAAAAAAGAAAGAAAGAAAGAAAGGAAAAGAAAGTGAGGAGGGCCCAGCATGGAGAAACTGAGGCTGGGCGGGTTGGGCAGCCTCACGTGGGGCTGGGGCAGGGCCGGTTGCGCAAGAGGTCGTTGCCCAACTCCGGTGGGTGCCCGCCACCTCATGGTCATTCCAGGCACATACCACTCTTTCAATAGGTTTCCGGCAGGTGTGGCTATCAAGTCTTGGGTGGGAACCTGGGGAGGCACGTGGCAGCTCGCAGGGGTGCTACGGTGTAGGCAGGGCTGGGAGCCCGCAGAGCTGTGTCCTACACCCAGGGCTGGTGGGTGGGTCCCGGGCCCACCTGCAGGAGCATGTGCCTCCTCGGCGCTTCTGTCTAAGCCTCGGTTTCCTGTCTGTCGGTGGAGTTGGGGCTGTGCCTGTCACCGCTGTCCTCTGGGGTGACGGTGACACAGCCAGCGAGCTGGGCTGGAGGATTAGCAGAGGGACTCCAGGCTGGCTGCTCTCATCACCTCTTCCTCCCACTCCCCTCGCACCGTGTCCCAGGAATGTGCTCTGCTCAGACCAGACTCAGCCTGGGTGCACCTTTGTGCTGGCGAGGGTGGTGCCGGCGTGAGAGTCAGCCTCCCTGGGTGAGTGGCTTGTACGCCCTGGACACAGGGAGCTCACTCACCACTCTCCAGGCCCTGCAGGCTTCCCTGAGCCTGGGGAGTGGTTCCCCGGGTTACTCTGCGTGTAGGGGCTGGAGGGCAGACCTGCGCACCATGTAACAAACAGCAGGTGAGAAAGAGCCTCCTTCCTTCTGTACCTCATACTAATGTTGACATGGCCTTTGATGGGATGCCCTCCTCCTGTCTCTCCCTCAAACTTGTAGCTGCTGCCAGACTTTATCTGCCCGTGGTGGTCGTTGTTATCTTTCTTTTTCTTTCTTTTATTTTAGAGAGATTTTTGCTATAGGTTGTGTGTGCACCCACCAGAGAGATAGAGAAAGAGAAATTAAGAAATCACCCCCCAGGAGGGATGGCCCTGCTGTAATCCCTTCTTCTCCATTCTCTTCTTCAGATCTGGGGCACGTAGGCACGCACACCCGGCCTGTTTCAAACCACTGGGTTTGGGATTTGAACCACGGCCGGCCTTGTGGGAGTCCAGTGACATAACCATGACACCATCTGCTAGTCCCTAATTTTTATTTTTTAAAGAATTATTAACCTAGGGGCTGGGAGGTGGCGTGGTGGTTAAGGCACAGGACTTGAACCATGGACCTGGCAGCTCTGTCTCTCTCTGGCCAAAGTGAAAAGTAATGATGCTAAATGAAATTAAATAAAGAAATATTAAAAAAAAAAAGAATCATCAATTTAATTGTAATTACTATTATTAAATTTGCTATAGGGCATGTGCGTTCACCAGAGAGAGACAAAAAGAGAAAATGAAAAAGCAAACTGCTAGGTCCAGGACTCGAACTGTGCTCAGCAGTTCAGCCATGTGCGAGTCCAGCACCTTAACCACCCTGGCACCTGCTGGTCCCAGTTGTCATCTTCTTTCTTTCTTTCTTCTTTTTTTTTTTTTTTTTTTTTTTTTGAGGTTTTTTTTTTGAGAGGTTTTTGCTATAGGTTGCATGCGCTCGCCAGAAAGACAGAAAGCAAGAAATCACCCCCCAAGGGGGATGGCCATGCTGCAATCCCTTCTCCTCCATTCTCCTCTCGGGATCTTGGGCACGCGCGCACACGCGCTTGGCGTGAGTTTAAGCCACCCAGTCCGGGACTCGAACCGCGGTCGACTACATGGGAGTCCAGCGACATAGCCATTACATTAACTGCTGGTCTCCAGTTGTCATCTTTCTACTTTTTTGTTTTTTTTTTTGAGAGGATTTCGCTATAGGGCACGTGCGCTTGCCAGACAGACAGAGAGAGACAGAGAGACAGAAAGTGAGAAATCACCCCCCAGGGGGGATGGTCACGTTGCAATCCCTTCTCCTCCATTCTCCTCCCCGGATCTTGAGCACGCACGCACATGCGCCCGGAGTGAGTTTTAAGCCACCGGGTCTGGGATGCGAACCATGGTCGACTACATGGGAGTCCAGCAACATAGCCATTACGCCAACTGCTGGTCCCCCTCGTCTTTCCACTTTCCCTGGTCCAGGGTTTTCTTGATGAGCCCACCTGTTGGGCCTGGGCTAGCCTCTGCCCACCCGGGCGTTCTCCTTGCCCGCCTGAGTCCCACCAGCTCTCGCCATCACAGGCAAGGAGGGACGTGCTGACCAGGCTGGGGCAGGGGACAGAGCCCTGCGGCTCTCCCTGGAATGCAGCTACTCAGGTAGGGCTGAATGTCCTGATGTCCCTGGCTCCCGTCCAGCCCCTGGGGACAAGTCCTGGGGCCTCTGTCCCTGTTCCTGCCTTTTCTCTTTTCCCAGTCACCCTGATCTGTGGAGTTAGGGGACACCCAGGACATGAGCTCTGTCATCGCGCCCCATCCTAGGGCAGATGGGGATTTCACGGTGTGTGTGGTGGCTTCTGTCTGGAGCCTGCTGGAGGACAACCATGTGGCCCGGGGAGACAGCACTTGTGTTCCCCTGTCACAGGGGGCAGCTGTGAATGATGGTGGCAGAGTAGTCCTTACAGCATGCGTGGACCTCAGGTGGAGGGGGCAGCCCAGGCACAGCTGGTCAGGGGGCAAGGGAAGGATCGTGACTCAGGGGGTTGCTGACCCTTGTCTTTGACAGTCGAGACCAAGGGGGCGCATGGAGCAAGGTCCCCCAGACCTGCCCCAGGGCTGCTGCTGGCTGGGACATCTGGTGGCAGACTGGGGACATGTAGCAACTAGGGCAGGCCCAGGGTGGCCAGGCTTGTGACAAGGCTGTGCTGAGTGACCCCAGGCCCGCTCTGGCCCTCTCGGGGCTCTGCCCTCAGGTGGTTCCTTGTGCCCCGGGGGTGTCGATGTTCCTGAATGGACAGTCGCACCAGGCTGGGCACAGGGAGGGGGCCCCAGGCTGAGTTCCAGGGACATGGTTTTGGCATTGAGAGCCGGGTATGGAAGGTGGCTTAGGTCTGGGTTCTGGTCTGGGGTCTCAGGAACCGTCTCAGGGACACTGGGTCCGGCTGAGATCAGACGCTCTGAACAGACACAGGGTGAGGCAGGGGGGGTTCTAGCTGGGGACACTGGAGTGGAGGGGCAGATGGTTCCCTTGAGTCTGGGAGTGCAGACCCCTTTCCTGGGCTCCCAGCACCCTCCTATTCCTGTCCCGGGGCCCTCCAAGGGCCACGTGAACTTTAGTCACCTGGTGACAGGAAGAGTCACTGTGCCTGCTTGCTGCTGTGACGTCAGCCCTCCCTCCCCGCCTTTCCCCCCTTCCGCCTCCCCTCCGCCCAGTCTAGACCTCTGTGGGAAGACTGCAGGTCCTCCACCCTGCTCAGACGCCTTCGACTACCCCACAGGGATGCTGGGCGCCCCTAGCTGGCTTCTAGCCCTCTCTGGGACTAGGTAAGCACGTGGGTCCTCCAGCCCCTCTGGCCCCTTTCCTGCTCTGTGCCTCCTGGGAGGTGCTCACCCCCACCTCTCAGTCCCAATTCCAAGGCCCCCTGAGGAGCTCTGCAGGGGCTGTGGCATGGCTCCAGGCACTCCCCG